GGGTTTTTTTTTTCCACCTGAGGGGGCTGCGGCTCGGGGCCGCGCTCCCGTCGCCTCGGCGGCGGAGGGCGGAGACCCCAGCTCTGCCCGCGGGAGCTGGGCCGCCCCCGTTTTGCCCGGGGCGGCCTTTCCCCGCGGGGGCCCGTCTCCGCCGTCGAGCGGGTTTTCAGCCCGGGCCGCCGCGGGAAGCGCTTGATCCCTCCCACCACGGTCCACGTAACGGGCCGGGGGCCCACGGGGCACGGACGGCGGTGCTTGTTGGCTAATTACAGGCGAGTTAATTACGAAGCACGTGAGGGGCGAGGCGGGGCCGCCCCCGCCCCAGGGGCCGTACTGGCGGCGGGGGCGATAAGAGGGGCGGGAGGCGGGCACGGCAACAAAGGGCGGCGGGGACGGGAGGGAAGGGAAGGCCGGTGGTCGTCGGCCGGGGAACTCACCTGCCCGCCCCGCTCTGCTCCTGCCCCGCAGCCCCGGCGGCGAGGAGCGCTCGGCAGCCGCGCCAGGGCCGGGCCGCGCCGGCGGGACCGCAAATGAAGTGCGAGAATTGCACCAAAAAGGTGAGAACGCAGCGGAAGGGGGGGGGACCTGGGCCGGGGGGGGTGTCGCTTCAGCGGGCGGCCGGAGGTCGGTGTGTCCCCCCGAGTCCCGGTTCGCGGCGTTCGGTTGCCGGTTCCAAGGTCAGGGGCCTGCCCGGCGGGCGGAGCGCGGCCCCGCGGCCCCTCCCTCACCCCGGTCCGGGCAGCCCCATCGCCGGGGCCGGGTCGGTACCGGGCGCGACCCGAACGCGGGGCTTCTGCTACGCTCCCTGTAACCTCCCCCTTGGCACTAAACACTAACCCTCAGAACTGTAAAACTGATGAAGTACGTGGATTTCTGAGCAATTATTTTCATGCCCTTTGGAAACAAGGCACTGCATATAAATGTGTTGATTTAACGCTGCAGAAAACTGTAAAAGAACTGCGTTAGCTCCTGATGATACAAACGCTTCTGCAAAGATGTCCTTATTGAACGGTTAACATGTAGCATAATATATATATATTTCATGTTTTGTTTTAGGAATGCAGTAAAAAACAGAAAAATGACGATACGCAAAGTACGTCTGTTGATGCATTGAGCCCAAATGATGGTTTTGAAGAGGTAACGTTCCTTCTAAAAATCATAACGTACTCTTTGTTTCTCTTCTTCTTGTGTTGTGTACCCCGAAGGAGGTTGCAAGTAGAGAACTTGCAAGTAGTAAATATAATGCTAGTCAACAAGCAGTTGTAAGCAATTAGGAGCACTTCTAGGCATCTCATAACATGAGGGTCAAGAATCTCTTAAAAAGGTGAAATAAAAAAACCTTACTGTGCAAATGCAAAACAGAAATTGAAGTTCTAGAAGAAATTTGGGTTTAGTGTCAAAAATCTTACATCAGCTCTTCAAAAGAGAGACAGGGCTCGGAAGGAGAACAGAGGGGGTTTGACAGTAAAAGTGCACAAAATGTCTTAATTTTGCATCGGACAGATCAGCTACTGTTCTCCAACAGATAATTTTTTTCCGGGAGAGGGGTTCCTGGAGGGTTTTTTTAGTTGGGTTTTTTTTTTTGTAAGTAGTCTGGTTATGTTGCACTTTGGAGTATTCCATCTTCCCACAGATGAACTACCAAAAGTATCGTAAGCACGAACCTCTTGATCTTACAGTGTATGTTCAATGTCACTGTGGCACTGCCCTCTGTTTGGCTTACCTCGTGGTAAAAAGTCAAGCCTGTTACAGAGGCATCTGGCCATTAAAGAGGTTTAATAGCTGAAGTTAAAGTTTTCTCAGTTGCTTGGTGAGTTGATGGGGACTGTCAGCTCTGAAATGCAACACAAATCAAGTTACTAGAACGTGGACTAGAGGGCTAAATTTAGATCTGTGTTTACGCTTAAACATTTTGCAGTTTCACAGTAATAATAGGAGTAGAGCCATGAAGAAGGATGGGACAAATCATTTTGATTATTTCTAAATAATTTTGGATGTTGTGCAAGTGTCATGGATTGCCTTGTTTTAAACAGAACGGTGACAGTATGTTTGCTCTTCAGCTGGGTCAGTGTAGAGGTCTTGAAAGTTGGTCAATCGTTATTAAATACTTGTTTACCTTTTTTTTTTTCTTCTTTCTTCCCCCAGAAAGATGAGTTTCCTACATTGGCTAATGCTAAAATACTCCTTAGCGACTGCCTAGCCTGTGACAGTTGTATGACATCAGAAGAAGGAGCCAGAGTTTTCCAGCAGAATCAGAAGGAGCTCTTTCGTATTCTTAACCTTAATAAGGTAAAGTGATGCAAACAATAACACATGGTTTTCTGTGAAGAGGAAGAAATTGCAGCCTGACTAAGCAGCTTGGTTTCCCAAGGCAGATGCTGTGAAGATTTGTCAGGATATGCTTTGTCCAAAGGGGAAGTGAAAATTTAAGGCAGGATAAACACTAAAGTACTTAATTTTGCACTAGAGATGCAAGATCATGGCACTTAGGCTAAATCCTAGAGGAAAGTTACTGCACCTGTAGAAATAAAGTTTTTGAAAAATGTAGCTACCTCATTACTGCAATAACAAATTAGGCTGTGGTTCAGTGTTTATACTCATACCTTCGTTACTGGGACTGTGCTGGGTGTTTCTGGTGCCAATATGTCTACAAAATACAAAGTTATCAAGTCAAGTTTTTGAAAGTAAATTGGTTTTAATATATATTTGAGCTGACTATATTTGGAACAGAATTTTTTGTCCAAATTCTTAGCAAGAAGTGCTCTATTGCTGTCTTATTTTCTGCTGAGATCTGGATTTCCTGGAAGCTACTTGCTATAGTTGGTGCTCAGATTATTAGATCTTGAGAGCGATTTAATCATTTTAGTTCTGCTCCAGACTGCTGTGTCCTTATTTGATATGCAAAAGCTACTAGAATTGATGGGTTTTCTTAATCTGTACAGAAGTGTCATACACAAGAGGATTCATTACATAGTCATTCAGTTTTCTTACAATTACTTTAGCTCTCCATACAGTGTGATGTTGCTGCACATGACAGAAAGAGAAGAAAATGAGGGGGGAAGAAAATCTTTTGGTTTGCGTGGGTCCTATTAAGAGAGAGTCTGAAGTCTGCAATAGGGAGGCAGCAAGTTACCTTAATCAGAAGGTCAGGTGTCCAGAAAAGGACAGTGAGCAAGAAAGATGCTTTCCAGGGGGTCGTGAACTCTACTTGAAGGGTCACTATACAACATTTAGGGTGTCTAAGTACAAACTGTGGTCCCTGACATTGGTAGGATGAGACTTGTCTGTGGCATAGTCCTGGTCTGTATTCCAAGGGTTCCACTGGTGTGGAAAACATCTCAACTAAATCACAAGGTTCATCTTCTTGTAAGTGTCACAGAGCTTTACAATTGCACACCATCTTAGGTGTTTCCAAAGGATTCTTCAGCACCTACAAACACTGATTAGTTGGGAGTCCTATCTCAACCACTTTCCCCTCAACAACTTTAGTGGTAGAGACGCAGGAGCCTTAGCAAAGGATCAGTTGTGTAATTTGCTGGGTTGGATTTGTAACTTCAAATGCCCATGCTCCTGTAAACATTAGTTTATCTGTTTATTAGTGTTTAAGCATACAGCTTTTTTCATATTTGCTAGAACACCGTATTTGCTGAATGTTTTAACTTTCCTTATGCCATTAGGAGACCAACCACACTATTGTCCTGGGAGGGGTGGATTTCCCTGAGTTACAGAAAAGGAACATCCACAGATGATGAACCTGGCAGGATCAGAGGAACGTCCTGTCCTGCCCTCAGGAAACTCACTAGTTCTTTGACAGGGTTTTAATGATACAGCCCAGTGAAGCATAGGACACTGAGGAATAACTCCAGGAGTGGAAAAGGGAGGGAAAGCAGGGAGCCTTACCCTGTTGTAATTACATACCCTGTTTCTTGTTTTGTTTACCAGAAATGTGATACCTCAAAACACAAAGTGTTGGCAGTGTCTATATGCCCTCAGTCATTGCCTTATTTTGCTGCTAAATTCAATCTCTCTGTGAATGATGCAGCCAAGAGACTCTGTGGTTTCCTCAAAAGTCTTGGTAAGTTTGGGTTTGTTACGATTGTGGAGCAGAAAGGGGAGACTGCTTGGGGGGTTTAGCTTCCTCAGCAGAATTCTTTGTTATGCAGCCATAAAGTGCCATTGCACAATCTGGTTTAGAGTTTGAAATACGCACTCTGTGATATTAATGACAGTGCACCAGTATGACACAGACTGGTTTCAGAAATGGAGGCCTTGCCCTGTTGATAGGAAAGGTCACAGAAGAGGACAGAGTGCTACTCAGAACTCTCCCTACCAAGAAACTGGGGAGGGTTTGGTCATGAGCTTCAATAAGATTTCCCTTTATTTTGTAACTTGAGGGAGGAGGGAGTTCTAAATACCTTCCAGTCCTTTTGACACATTTTATCTCTAGGAGGTTGTCAGTTCTGGCTTTTTCTGCAACTTGAAATGACATGCAAGAACTGTTGGATCTGCCTATTTTATGTTAAAGTTATATTTCCTTTGTTCTTCATACTATATATAAAAAGTTTTATTTAAAAAGCAAACCCCACTTCACCTATAGGTTTGGGGTTTAAAAAAACCCGAGGGAGGACGGAAAAGGAGAGTAATAAACCTATAAACTGTTTCCTCCCTTATATACATATTTTTTCGTATTTTTTTATGTGTCTTAGTACCCAGCATATTTTCTTAATCTAAAAGGAATGCTAAGTTCTGGTGGGCCCTAGTTTTCTTAGAATGTGTTAATTATCTATGCCTCGCTCGCCGCAGGGACGTGCCTGCTATTACGTAGGCGCAGAGGGAGGATGTCACTAAACTGGCTGGCAGAAGGTCTCTGCTGTGCTGGTGATATGCTCCTGTACCTCTGCAGACAACTTCAGCAGTGGAAGATACACCTCTCTGCTGGATATTTTTGTTTGTGGATAATGATATTTGACTTCAGCATGTCCTGAACACTCCTTTTCAGCAGTGTGTATGGCCCAGGAGTCGCAAGATCCCATTCGATTAAACAAAAAGCCACGAAGTGCTGAATAGGGAGCTTCTCCTAAGGAAGCTGACAACTATTTGAAGTGTTGCTAGTCACCATTAGCAAGTTGGTGGTCCTTTTAAATTCAGTATATAGAAGATAGCTTTTCAATATATGGCTTTTATTTTTGACTCTACTGTTTGTGAAAATTTGGAGAGGGGCAGGAGAACACCCGTTGACCCTATAAGGTTTTCTGTAGACCTGGAACTTGGAAAGAAGCCTACGAGATGGAAAACATTCTAGTCATTCACTTTTCCTTACTGCTTTTCTCTCACAGGGGTGCATTATGTGTTTGACACCACTATAGCTGCTGATTTCAGTATCCTGGAGAGCCAGAGGGAATTTGTGCAGCGGTATCAGCGGAGGAACCAGGAGGAGCATGCCTTACCCATGTTTGCCTCTGCTTGCCCTGGTGAGAACTGATCTCTCCAACCTCCTGCACTTCAGCCTAGTCCCATTGGAACTACCGAGAAACTAAGGAAAGGGTGGTTCCATTTGAGAGCCTTACATAATTTACAGCATTTTGTCTTTGGTTTTGGGAGAGCCCAGATATGGCACACAGTATTTGTTGCCAGTAGTGGCCATCACCTTTAGTGTATTGCTAGGTGGGCCTGGTTTTCATGGGCTGTTGGGAGAGCAGGATTTGTTTCTTACAAACATTAGCAGCTTTCCCATATGGAAGTGAGGTGCTGCAGCCATAACTGTGAACCCTGCAGACAAAGAATGGGTGTGATGGTGCTGGATGAGGCTAATTCAGTGTAGGGTCTTACCCAGTCAGATACAAAGGTTGCAATAAATTCCCTGTCTGCTTTTTGCACTTGTCTTCTGTTGGAGCTCTGTAGAAGGTGAGGGGCGTAAATTCTATTTTTTCTCTTCAAAAAAATCAGAAATTAGTCAGAACTGGAATTGAGGAGCCGGTGGCTGCTGCTTGTGTGTCCACTTCAAAGTTTAACATGGTTTCCTCATTTAAAAGAATCCTTAAGGAACTTTGCTCACTGATCTAATTAAAGCACAACCTTTGTTATCTTAAGCAAAGTTTTGAACTTGCCACTTAAGCCTAGGGGAAAGTATCAGGTGACATTGCTCTTAATGACTGTGCGATGGTTATGTCTAGCACTTACAAAATAATTCTCACTTGAAATGTCACCGACTGACTCACTAAATGTCTCACTTCTGAGAATTTTGCACCTGAGAACTTGTTCTTTTATGAACAGAACCTGCACTTACCACAACTGGGAAGATGTAGAACGTTCGGTCATTGTTTACTTTTTCTATTTGTTAGCACACTGGCATTTTGGTTTAAGTCACATTGCTAAGAAAAAAAAAAAATCAAAAAGAAGGCCAAAGTATCTGCCTTGCTGAGCATCCCCCTCAGCTTCACCCTAAAGCCCATGGTGTTGCTTTTCAGAAGCATAATAAAAATACAAAAATATTTCTTTCTAGTTTTGAAGTAACTGAAGTGGATTGCGTTCTTTAAAGAAATGTTACAGTGATGAGAGAATGAGTTAGGGTTGCATTTGGTGATCCCCAGAATCTGCTGTTGTCACTGATTTAAAGTTGCAATACTGCTATTTGAATTGTACTTCTGTTTGTTCTGTGTATTCTGTAGTGGAAGTATCAGGGTTGCACTTTAGGGACTACATACAAGAGGGAAAGTCTTTTTTTTTTTTTTTTTTTTTTTTCAATGAATAACTACAGTTACGCCTTCTCTGTCTTTTAATTTTCACACACAAGAGGCTCTTTTGATCCAATTAAATAAAAATGAAATAGAAGAAATTTGTGCTGAGGAAAGGCTGCAGTAATTAACACAAAACTACAGCCCAGTGTTCTGGCAGAGAGCTGAGGGAAGCTATTAATTCTGAAAGACCTCCAACAAATGCCTTACATTCCAATTTTGCCACATAAAAGTTGGAGTAGATGAAAAAAGATCCGAAGAATTCCAAAAGGGAAAGTTTTTTTTTTTTTTTTTTTTTTTTTTACTGTTATCTTTGTGTTGCCTCCTATCTTCAGGAGCAGACATACTGTGTGTGTTGCTTTTTTTTAAGTGTAAAACCTGTGAAGTTGAAACAACGCCCCATTACTTAACTTTGTCCTGTGTGTGGTTTATTTAAAATTCAAAACCTGAGGACTTCTTTTAGAACTTATTCTGAGAACTTCAATTTCTGTTTGCAGCACTAGCTCTGGTGTTAGTATCTGCTGTGGCACAGATGTTAGCAGAAGCACCGGTGCTTTCTGTTTCTGGAAAACTGAACTGAAATATCACTGTAAGCCCCTTCTGAAAGTGTGTGGTGTTTCATTCCTCCTGACAGCAATTACAGGGGGGAAAAAAAAAAAATCATGATCAGTCATTTTTAAAGTAAGGTTGTTTGCTGTGTTTCCTGACTTTAATTGTCTGGGTGCATTTTCTGTTCCTCATTCTCCTTCCTCTCTACCCCCAGATTACATAAATTTGTCCTAGAAGTGTTTACTCTGTGTGTTTATCGCCAAATGTTTTTTATACAGCTCTGTCAATACAAGGTCAATGTGAACTCCAGTGTAACTGCTTCCCTCCTACTTATCTTCCAGAGTAACTTTCCACAGAAATATCATCCTCTGCAGAAGTCTGTGGTGTAAAATCTACCATGGGCAAAAGAGCATAGCCCTTATAGACCCAGAACCTGATAAAAGAGCTGTCTCTGTCTTAATTCTTCTTACATCCTCATGCTCCTCTCTTAAAAGAAAGTGAGCTAATCTTGGAGGTTTTGTTTCCTGTTGAAGGTACAGCAGTGTAACTACTGATTGTGTATGTGATACCTCTGAAGTAATCAGTTCTCTTCCTTAATTTACTAAACTGGTGAGCAATGTGAAGCACTTGCTCTGGGAACCAGCCAGCGTTTTTAATGCGTTGCCAGCCTCCGTGAACTCCAGACCAGGTCAGCAGGGCAGGCTGACAGCATTAGTAGGAGAGTGTAATTATTGAGGATACTGATGCTTTTGTCCCAGTCAGCTGAAGTAATTTGCTTTTGCAGAAATGGGGTTTTTACAGTAGTGAAAGTTTTCTTAGTTTCTCTGCACTTTATACTGATGCGTAGCTATTTATAGCATGCACCTTTGTCATCTGCTCGGGCTAAAGCACTAAGAATGACACGTTCTGAAGCACATCTGCAAGAATTTATACAGTGATTTGCAGGGGTTTCTTGTTGTTCTTTGATGCCGAAGGCAAAAGGCCGAGAATCTGAATGAATTTAGGAAGGGTGTAGGTCTGTATGGGTGAGGATGTACATTGATATAAGAACTGGCTATCTGTGGCTTCCTGCTGCTGGGGGGCTGGAGTTCAGCCCTGTGGGTGAGTGGGCACAAACAGCCAGTGCCCACATGAAGTGCAGATAAATGCCTGATGTTGCTCATTCACCAAGGCTGCTAAGATAATTAAACAGTGACTAATGGTCATTGTGGAGCTGGAGCTACTAGACACTTGTGCCATCTACTGCAAGGGAAGGAACAATTGAAGAAATTGCTTTGGGCAATATCTGCCAGAAGTCTCTTGGAATTTAGTGAAATATCCTTACAGTTCATGACTGCAATACCTACACCATTCCAATTCCGAAATTGCCCTCACAGCAGGAGCTGTGATTAATGGTGATCAGAGGTGCAGTGTAAGGGAAGGACTGCACAGAAATGCTGCTAAAGTACAAGGTAGAATGTTTTTAAAAAACTGCCCTTTGTTTGCAGCAGTTTTTGTTCTATTTTGACAGCACTTGAGACTAAAGCCATTTAAGAAATAGGATATAAATGTCAAGCAGAATATGCTGATACAGACTTTGTATCAAGCACCTTGGTTGCAGGTAATATCTTGGACTCAAGGTCCCAGTTGAAGTTGGACATTAAAAAAACCTTCCTATTCACAGTCTAGCAATTCACCACAGCCCTGATGTGTAAATCTCTTTTCCTGGCTCTGTCTACAGCAGAAATGAGCACTTGTTGAAGATGATGTATGTCTTTGAAATTTTTCATGGAGACCAGTATCTGCTAATCTTGAAGTCTGACAAGAATTGGGAATACTTAAACAGCTGGAGGATCCTCGTGTTTCCCTAATACTTGTTTCTATCAGTAAACAGCAGAAATGAGCACTTGTTGAAGATGATGTATGTCTTTGAAATTTTTCATGGAGACCAGTATCTGCTAATCTTGAAGTCTGTACTTTAACAAGAATTGGGAATATTTAAACAGCTGGAGGATCCTCATGTTTCCCTAATACTTGTTTCTATCAGTAAAACTTTATTACACTGGGAAAACCACTTCTGTGCCATAGAGAGACAGTCTGAACACCACTTGGTTTCTGGTTTCATGCTGTTGTTGGCCTGTGTGGCAGTGTTCTGACTTAAACATTACCAACTGTTTATACATACACGTTAATTTCAAGCTTAAGAATTAACCTACAGGTTTTAACTTTCCTGGGCAGCATGTACCTCACAGCAGTTTTTCTCTTTTATGTAAACACTAATCTGTTGGAAGGTAAAAGACCTCAGTGTGGTATTTTTCACTATTTCTAAGCACCAGAATTGTCACATTTCCCTAGAAAGCTGGGCCTAACACTTCTGTATGATTTAGGAGCCTGATTCTCAGTTAACGTAGGTGGAGCAAGAAGTTCAAAATCCTTGCTGTGAGAGATTCTGGGCTGTTTTCTGTAGGAGTCACCACGCCCAAGGAAGAATTGCACCTTAAATATCTTAATCTGCTCATTTGTCGGTTCCTACTCTGGAAGGTGGGGAATAGTAGAACGGATATTGGGGGTGGTGTGATTATACATGGCCTGTTGCAGCTGAAATGCTGCAGGAGTCTGGTGGAAGAGAGGGGGACTCTTGAGTAATGGAGGCAGAACACAGGGACTTCAGTTGGTTCCTCTGTGTGTGGTTGAGTGTGGGGGTGTTTCTGAAGAAGGTGTGGCTACTCTAACAACAGTAAAAGAAGCCATTTTTTTCCAGGCTTAATCCATGTGCATCTTGTGATAATGCTTTCATGTGACTCTTCTGTTCTAGAGGAGGCAAGGTGGGGGCACGGATACTAAATCACAGGAAACAGAAGGTTACAGTTAAGCAGCTGAACAGAGTATGTTTGTTGTAGTATCTGGTGATCCAAGGGCTGAGGTCTGGAAAGTCAACTTAAGCTGGAGTCCTGTTCTTTCTCCTTTGTTAAATCTATGCTTTAGAAGGGGTGTAATAAGTCATGAAGTTCACAGTGGCTTGGAAGTCTAGAATTGGTGACACAGCCAATTATTGATAACCAGCTGTAAAGCAGCATTAACAGAGACTTGAGGTTTCCTACAGTTCCCAAGGTAGGGTTTCCAGCCTACACAGAAATGTCCTACCTACTGTGAAGGTGGCTTCATTTTTAAAAGCTGTTGTGTAACTGCTGTAGCTTTGCCATGCTTCTGTGCCACTTCCCCATCTCACTGTGATTTCTGCTGTTCCAGGTTGGATCCGGTATGCCGAAAGGGTACTTACCAATCTCGTGACCTCTCACATTTGCACTGCAAAGTCTCCGCAGCAGATCATGGGCTCCCTGGTGAAGGGCTACTTTGCCAGGAAGCAGGTAGGTGATTCAGATTGATTTTTACGGGTAAACTCTGCTAAAAAGATGGGCTAGTAGGTTTTAATACTGAAATAGAGATCTTAGCGTATTATAAAGTGCTAAAGCATCTCTTCAAATTGCTTGTCCTTTACTTGAAGAATAAATGGTGCTCAGCTGCTATACAAGTGCCCATGATAAGAGGGATGTACAAAGAACCTCATTTCATGTGGTGCAGTGTAAGCTGGCAGCAATCCTTGCACTCCCAGTGCAACGTGGATTTAGGTATTTATGGATAAAATAAAATCCACGGTAACTAAAGAGTTTGTTATTAAGTGCTGCCTGTGTAGTTCTATAGCACAGCCAAAACAGGAGCGGAGGAGAATAATGTAGAAATTGCTGTGTTATCTAGGATCAATAAAAGCATTGTATCCTAGAAACTAACCTTTTTAACTTCTCAATTTTGTATTTTGAAAAAGTCGCTTTTCCTTTTGAGTATCATACTTCAATTGAAGTTACATCCACGTTACATAAAGAAGTATTGCCATGTCCACATAGCCAGAGACATGCTGATGGACTTGCTGTGGATGAAAATGACTGACAGCTAAAAACTGAATTCTGAAGTCCCGACTTTCATTCACTTTCTAAGGCAATCAAAAGCTGCAGAAAATATGGTCTTCCTTTTGAGTATCATCCTTTAATTGAACTGCATCCATGTTACATAGAGAAGTATTGCCATGTCCACATAGCCAGAGACATGCTGATGGACTTGCTGTGGATGAAAATGACTGACAGCTAAAAACTGAATTCTGAAGTCCCGACTTTCATTCACTTTCTAAGGCAATCAAAAGCTGCAGAAAATATGGTCTGAAGGAATGGATTAAAGTTTCAGCCAGGACTGACTTTGGATGTTTGTTGCTGATGCCTTGTGACTTCTGGCGAGTCTTTAAATTTAATTGCTGGGGATTGGTTACTAGTATTAACTGCATAGGGTTGATGATGCTATTTTCATCCTTGTCGTGCTTCAAGCTGTCTCTTGTGCTTCATGAAGCTCTCTCTTACATTCCACAGAACTTGTCTCCTGATAAAATTTTCCATGTAATTGTGGCGCCTTGTTATGACAAAAAGCTGGAAGCCTTGCGGGAAGACTTCTACACTGCCTTGTATAATTCACAAGAAGTTGATTGTGTTCTGACATCAGGTTAAATCTTCTTTAAACTTACTATTTCTAAAGACATAAGTCAATCACCCTTGTCAGAATAGCCTTTAGGCCAGACTTTGCTTTTTTCAAGTATGTTTTAGTTGTAAGATTGGCTTTTTTTCTGCTTTAAAAGTAGGTACAGGTTTTTGTGCTGATGGTAGTGTAGGTATTGTATAGGGAAGGCAAAGCAAAAAATACTTTCCTTCGAAGTTGGTATTCATCTATTGGGTTTTGTCAGCCTCTTGAGAAAGGTAAGAGTTATGCAAATTCATATTAAAAACCACTGTCTTGTTTGTGGTCCACTGGGATTATTCATAACATTCCAAATGGGTGGCACCAGTGGTTTATGGTGTGGCTTTTGTCTTTAGGCTTAATGTCCAAACTATGTATACTTCTCTTTCCCCTGCAGTGTAGAAATGTCTTCCAAACTTAACAATAAGGCTAAGGATAGAACTACACAAAGTTTGGAGTGAGCTGAAGGCCCCTTCCTTCATGGCTGGAAGTATCAGGCTTCTTGGTCACTGGAGGGAACTGACTCCAGTAAGCACTGGAGAATGTGACTGTGAGCCCATAGAGGTGTTGGGATGTTGATCTCTTTAACAGAGGCACAGCATGTGCATTTTGCTTTGTGTTGAAAGTAAAATGTCATATGTTTTCCTACAGGTGAAATTGTCCAAATAATGGAACAGAAAAATGTGTCTATGAAAGATGTGACTGAAGTAGCTGTAGATAGTTTGTAAGTAGTTTTGTTGTGAATTGCTTCCTTATTTTGATGACAAATGACAACACCTTTGAGCATATTCAACATAAAACATTCTTTTGAGAAGTTTTACACTTTTCTTTTTAAAGAAAAAAAGCCTGCATCAAAGCCTGAGTATAGTAAAGTCTCATCCTTTATATAGTTGCCAAAACACCTGAAAGTATTCTTTTAGATATTTGTTGCTATATACAAAAGCAATATGAAACAGGTAATAAAAAAACGTGTATACTGTCTAAATACAAAGCAGGTAATTTGAGGTAATGACCTCGTATCTAGGGACTCCTTTAAAATATATGATTTTTTGAAGCTTTGTGTAGCTTCTTATTTGTATCATAATGTAATAATATGAGATGTGACTGTATCAGGTTCATGCCTTGCTTGTGAGTGTCTTGGGGTGCTGACCCCATTCAGAGCTCTCCTGGGCTTGAGCTGGGGTAAAGCTGAACAGCCTCTCCTGGCCTCACACAAAGCTGCTGGGATGCAGTCGTGGGGTTGACCATCTGTTCCGTGCTTCCTCATTCACAGCAGCACCCTGACAGTAAATTTCCACTTCCTCTGATAGGTTTTTGTAGTATTGATAGAAGTAGCACTCTTTCAGGAAATGGTAATAATTTTTTTTTTATACCGAAGACAGCAGTTTTTCAAAATTAGGTAAAATTGAAACATGCTTTAGTTGAAAATCTAAAAATCACACGAAGCATTGGAGAGGTTTTGTTTCCCCACTGGGTGACTGGCTCAGAAGGCAGCACGCATGTTGTTTTAATTCTCAGGCTTAGTTACAAAGGCTGGTCTCGCTGCTCGCTGATCTTTGTTCACAGTGTGACAGATGTTACTTGGGATCTTTCCAAAGTGGTGGTAGTGGAGCAATAAACCTGCTTTCTTGCACAAAATGGAAAGCTCTGGAAATGTCTAAAGCTGCTTTTCACTTTGGCTTGATACTTTGCTTGGACCTTGCCTAGACTGGAGAAATGTAAGTGGCAGAGTGGTAGCAGTTTCAGAGCTGGTTTTGTAGTAGCCCCTGTGATTACTTCCACCAATGATTGCTTTGAAGAATGATGATTACATGAATAAAGCTCTTAAAGACATCATCACATAGAGATGGACATTTATTTCTAAATCAGCTGTCCAGTGAAAGAATAAGCTCTTACTCAGAATATACCTGTTTTATTAGATCAATTTAAGTTGGAAAGTAATGTTAATTTTTCAAAGGACTAATCTGACAATACTGGTTCAGCCAGTGAGAACCAATGACAATAGCTTTTGCTCTTCTGGGGTCTTAAAAGGAGATTTTGCAGGAAAAAATTATATAACATGAACTTCTCTTCTGAAAAACAAGTTCCATCACAGAAGAGATTTGTGGTAAAGTACTCAGTATTCAAAAAGTAGTGAATGAAGTAACTTGTGTTTGAGTTCTCAACTCCCCTCTGCAGCTAGAGAATGCTAACAAATAGCAGTTGGCTAAAATTAGGAGACGCATCATGAACCATAAAACATTCTTTTGAGAAGTTTTACACTTTTCTTTTTAAAGAAAAAAAGCCTGCATCAAAGCCTGAGTATAGTAAAGTCTCATCCTTTATATAGTTGCCAAAGCACCTGAAAGTATTCTTTTAGATATTTGTTGCTATATACAAAAGCAATATGAAACAGATAATATAAAACCATGTATACTGCCTAAATACAAAGCAGATAATTTGAGGTAATGACCTCTATCTAGGGACTCCTTTAAAATATATGATTTGTAATAAAAAAACGTGTATACTGTCTAAATACAAAGCAGGTAATTTGAGGTAATGACCTCGTATCTAGGGACTCCTTTAAAATATATGATTTTTTGAAGCTTTGTGTAGCTCCTTATTTGTATCATAATGTAGTAATATGAGATGTGACTGTATCAGGTTCATGCCTTGCTTGTGAGTGTCTCGGGGTGCTGACCCCATTCAGAGCTCTCCTGGGCTTGAGCTGGGGTAAAGCTGAACAGCCTCTCCTGGCCTCACACAAAGCTGCTGGGATGCAGTCGTGGGGTTGACCATCTGTTCCGTGCTTCCTCATTCACAGCAGCACCCTGACAGTAAATTTCCACTTCCTCTGATAGGTTTTTGTAGGATTGATAGAAGTAGCACTCTTTCAGGAAATGGCAATAATTTTTTTTTTATACTGAAGACAGCGGTTTTTCAAAATTGGGTAAAATTGAAACATGCTTTAGTTGAAAATCTAAAAATCACACGAAGTATTGGAGAGGTTTTGTTTCCCCACTGGGTGACTGGCTCAGAAGGCAGCACGCATGTTGTTTTAATTCTCAGGCTTAGTTACAAAGGCTGGTCTCGCTGCTCGCTGATCTTTGTTCACAGTGTGACAGATGTTACTTGGGATCTTTCCAAAGTGGTGGTAGTGGAGCAATAAACCTGCTTTCTTGCACAAAATGGAAAGCTCTGGAAATGTCTAAAGCTGCTTTTCACTTTGGCTTGATACTTTGCTTGGACCTTGCCTAGACTGGAGAAATGTAAGTGGCAGAGTGGTAGCAGTTTCAGAGCTGGTTTTGTAGTAGCCCCTGTGACTACTTCCACCAATGATTGCTTTGAAGAATGATGATTACATGAATAAAGCTCTTAAAGACATCATCACATAGAGATGGACATTTATTTCTAAATCAGCTGTCCAGTGAAAGAATAAGCTCTTACTCAGAATATACCTGTTTTATTAGATCAATTTAAGTTGGAAAGTAATGTTAATTTTTCAAAGGACTAATCTGACAATACTGGTTCAGCCAGTGAGAACCAATGACAATAGCTTTTGCTCTTCTGGGGTCTTAAAAGGAGATTTTGCAGGAAAAAATTATATAACATGAACTTCTCTTCTGAAAAACAAGTTCCATCACAGAAGAGATTTGTGGTAAAGTACTCAGTATTCAAAAAGTAGTGAATGAAGTAACTTGTGTTTGAGTTCTCAACTCCCCTCTGCAGCTAGAGAATGCTAACAAATAGCAGTTGGCTAAAATTAGGAGACGCATCATGAACAAGATCACCCAAGGTTACACACAGAAATAAAAAGCTGCAGTACTTATGAAGTAAATGCAATGGCATGGAGGGACAGACGTACTACATTTGTATACTTCAGCTCTTCAGTGATTAAAATAGTTCTTTGTTGTTGTTACAACTTCAGCATTTTGGGTTTCAGTAAGATGTTTGCTGTGGCAATTTTCACTTGGTTTTTGGTTGAATGCTGTGCCCGGAGTGCTGCTCAGGCGAGAGCCAGCAGTACAGCCCAGGAAAGGTCATGTCTGGAGGTTCTGAGAAGAAGGTAATTAGACCATATCTAGAGAGGCTTTTACATGTAAGAGCAAAGGACATAATCTGTCCATTCGCTAATACAAAGATTATTCTCTCTTCCTGAAACCAGCATTACCACACCCCCCTATTGATTTCTGCTTTGCCAGAAAGGAACACGAGCCTGTAGAGCTGCAGACCTTGGTGCTCACCAACACACATCCCAGTAGGGTTTATACTGCAGCCGCTCCTGCCGGCCAGTGCTCTGCTTTTAACCGAGGCACAGTGACCCTCCAGGTGAACGCTACACCCATTGGATTTGATAGCACTGATTTTCTTTCCAAATTACGGTGTAGCACTTACCTTAAAGGCAGAGTGTTCTAGCCCACCTGCAACTGCACTGGTTTGGTCTTACTTTAGTGGCAAAGTGTTACAGACAAAGAGTTCCTCGAGCAGAAGCGTTTGTGAGCAGAGGCTTGTAACTTCTGAAGTACTTTTACATTCTCACAGGTTACAAATGATTTATATTTTTTTTCCCCAAAAATGTCTCCTGAGTAGTGAATGGCTGTTAATCGAGGCTTTAGGCAGATGCTGAACATGTATTATGATGAATTACTGTTGCTTGAGGTTTCTGAGAATGGAAAGCCCTTCATCCTTTTATATTTAACTGTATTTTTTCCCCACCATCTTACTAAACAGTTTATTTTTTTTAAGCTGTAATAAATAAAAATATGTTCTCGGTCACTGCTATAAAACTTTTTGGGGAGAAGAGACAGAGAAGGGGAGAAACACTACTTTATTGAAGTGAAGGAATGAAATTTTGGAGTTGATCTTTCTTTCTGTTGTTTTCTAAGGTTTGATGAAGTAAAGGAGGGAGATGTAGTAAGGCATGAAGGGAAGAGGTCCGATGGCTACCTGGAGCACATTTTTACACATGCTGCAAAGGAGCTTTTTGGCATGGATGTCAAAGAGATCACCTACAAAGCATTAAAGTAAGCTGGAGTTTTGTGTCCTTGTTCTGTAGGATGGACCAGTTGGTGCTACAGTGAACCCTAGTGCAGTTATTTCTAACCTGGCTCATTTGCTGATAGGCAATCACATATTACAAACCTGTAAATTTGTTGCTGTAAACTAGTTCCCAAAAGATTTAATTTTATTAATAACTTACCTGCCCTTAAAAACGAGGTATAATTCTATTCTGAAAACTCCATCCAAACTTCTGCTTAACTTGGTTTAGAAATTGGAAGAATTCATCCTAATCTCACTGTTACCCTTGTTCTGTTCTCTTCAGAGCATCTAAATCCAAACTGACGCAGTTGGATCATTCCTTTGGTAATAAGGGGCTTAAAATGTTCTGTGTGTTATCTTTATAGGAACAAGGACTTTCAAGAAGTTACTCTTGAAAAGGATGGTGAGACAGTGCTGCGGTTTGCAGCAGCTTATGGCTTTAGAAATATTCAAAACATGGTTCTGAAGTTGAAAAAAGGAAAGTTTTTATACCATTTCGTAGAAGTCCTTGCCTGCCCAGGAGGTAAGAATAATTGTGGATCCACAGTTGTTCCACACACATAGCTTGAATCTCAAAGGAAGGCTATCTTACAGACAGGCACTTCATTTCATTCCCTCTTGATTCTCATCTCAATAATTTAAAGTGTGTACTATTCAGTGAATGGTCCAGAACACCAATTACATGTGCAGGGTTGACTCAAAAATTGATTGGGTTTTCTAAAATTAACCACAATGTTATTTTTTTCTCTTTTGACCTATAAATAAGTGACAGCATGGCTCTTGCAATTATTTCAAACCTCAGAGGAAATACTGTGAAGTGGTGGTTGTCAAGGGCAAGAAAAGACAAGGAACATAATTATTATTGTAAAACCATGAAGGAGGCAGAGAAAGATTGTTGATACGGAAAGCTCATTTGCATTAAGATGTTGTTGGTATTGGAGTCGCTTTAAGTAAATACAATTTCTAGCAGCATGGGGTGGGTACTTTATGTAAACAGGCAAGTTTTTCTTTACAGAAGTACAGAAAAAAATTTCCAAGTTAACATAAACTTTCTCTTCATATCAAATCTTCATCACCCTTGTGGCTTTTTTCTTTTTTTTTTTTTTTTCTCCCCCTAAGGGTGCCTAAATGGAAAAGGGCAGGCACAAACTGAAGATGGAAAACCAGATAAAGCACTGCTTAATCAGATGGAGGAAGTGTATGCTGCAATACCTGTCAGACTGCCGGAATCCAACGTGCACGTCCAAAAGCTCTACCAGGACTGGCTGGAAGGCATGGACTCTAAGAAGGTCCAGGAAACTTTGCACACCAAATACAGTGCAGTAAATGAAACAGCAAGCAATCTGGATATCAAATGGTAATAAATCAAACTTGCAAAAGATTTGCTTAGGTTAGTTACAGATTCAGCACTGGAAACATTCTATGCAATCGCAGACGCTATGCACTAGCCGAGTGTACGAATGAGACGCTTCCCGATTGTGGATTATTCTTTGTGAAGAACCATTGCTTTTTAAAAACAGAAGGAGAAGTCTCCGAAAGCCCTGGTGTTCCCGCCATTGTCATTTAACTTTTACTGTGTGTAATCTCCTGTGTAAATAAGTGACAGCATGGCTCTTGCAATTATTTCAAACCTCAGAGGAAATACTCTGAAATGGTGGTTGCCAAGGGCAAGAAAAGACAAGGAACATAATTATTATTGTAAAACCATGAAGGAGGCAGAGAAAGATTGTTGATACGGAAAGCTCATTTGCATTAAGATGTTGTTGGTATTGGAGTCACTTTAAGTAAATACAAATTCTAGCAGCGTGGGGTGGGTATTTTATGTAAACAGGCAAGTTTTTCTTTACAGAAGTACAGAAAAAAATTTCCAAGTTAACATAAACTTTCTCTTCATATCAAATCTTCATCACCCTTATGGCTTTTTTCTTTTTTTTTTTTTTCTCCCCCTAAGGGTGCCTAAATGGAAAAGGGCAGGCACAAACTGAAGATGGAAAACCAGATAAAGCACTGCTTAATCAGATGGAGGAAGTGTATGCTGCAATACCTGTCAGACTGCCGGAATCCAACGTGCACGTCCAAAAGCTCTACCAGGACTGGCTGGAAGGCATGGACTCTAAGAAGGTCCAGGAAACTTTGCACACCAAATACAGTGCAGTAAATGAAACAGCAAGCAATCTGGATATCAAATGGTAATAAATCAAACTTGCAAAAGATTTGCTTAGGTTAGTTACAGATTCAGCACTGGAAACATTCTATGCAATCGCAGACGCTATGCACTAGCCGAGTGTACGAATGAGACGCTTCCCGATTGTGGATTATTCTTTGTGAAGAACCATTGCTTTTTAAAAACAGAAGGAGAAGTCTCCGAAAGCCCTGGTGTTCCCGCCATTGTCATTTAACTTTTACTGTGTGTAATCTCCTGTGCGTAATGGATTTCTTTCTCCAAAAATGTGATCTTGCAAGGTACATAAACACTTTCTGCCGGGTGCAGGGGGTGTAAGTCCTGATGAAGCTACTCCCTACAAAGCTACAAAATGGGCTTCCCTGAGAAGGCGAGATTGTTTCGCTCCTGCTCCTGGGTATGTGATCCCTTTCACTGTGGGAAAAGAGTCATGACGAATTTCACTGTTGTTGCAGTTGTTATGAAGTAACTCGGGATTAATTTGCCTTGTTAACAAAAAAACCCTTTACAGGCACAAGTGTAAATGGAGAAGTGTAATGAATTTGTGTATGCCTTCTAGCCACCTTTTAACAAAAGCTATTCAGTTCCAAACTTGAGTCACTGTTCCTTACTGATGTAATATTTGTGTAAGGAAGGGGATGCTTCATATAAACTGAACTTGGGAAACAAATGCTAAATGGTTATAATGCAGTCCGTCGTTAAAAATAGTTCCAAATACATTGGCTGGTGCAAAAAGGGAACTTTTCTTCCCTTGGAAGGTTTGTTAGAAACTTGCAGCTTGGAAGAGTGGTGCTGCTTCTGTGTCTGGCTTCCTGAGAGGGAAACATGCACTGTCAGGTGAGCACGTGCATACTACAACTTGGCTAGATTTGCTGAGCCAGACTTAACAGCACTTTAATTCTTTCATATGTCAGTACACAGAATAACAGATTGTTATTTTCATTTATCTCCTTGTTGACAGACTTCTGTAAAAACAACTTCACGGAGCGCCTCTGAAAAAAAAGCAACCACTTAGCAGTGCTTGTGAGCCCATCAAAGTTACTACATTTTGGCATCATGAATTTTGGTGCTTATTTTTAAGTATGCTTTAGAGGTTTCATTTAGCAGACATCTTAAAGCTTGCATGCAAACACCACTTTTCTGCAGCTTCATGAGTTGTCAGAGGGTTATTCAAAAATGTGATGGATGCGCAAAAAAAAAATCAAACTACTGCCAAACTTCTTCAGATTTTCCTAGTAGCACCAAATTTGTTCAAGGTTAGTGGCTGGTTGGAGCTAGCAAAGTTTCAGCTTTCCTTTTCCAGTCTAAAAGTGTGGATGGGCTTTTCTAATCATTTTGGGCAGTGTTTGAATGAATCTTCTTGTAGATTTCTTAATATTACAACTGCTTGTATGAGTAAGATCTAATACTGCAAAAACCTGTGTATAGTTGAAATCCTCGTTTAGCTTGAACACAGTGGATGGGATAAAGGCATCGTGAAGTCAGTGGAAGTTCTTGTTGGTTAAACAACAGAGACTCAGAAGGAAAGAGACAGACTTAAGTTTGTTACCCTGATGACAAGAGATAATTCACTTAATGGGAAGCTGTTAATAGAATTGCAACTTTCAATTGGGCCTCCACCTAAATAACAGGACACTTCACTTTTGAGGGATGTTTTCTTTCAAGCGCAAATGAATTTGATTACTGTGCTACCTGAATGCACGCAATGAGATTATACCCATAAATTAGCCTTTTTAAGTTGTTCCTTGTTGTAATAAAAACATTATTCTTAACGTGGTGCAATATCAGAACATCTACAGAAATCTACCTCTGTACAGGAAAGGAGTCCAGAAATGGTGGGAAGACATATGTATAGCTGAAAGTCATAAATGTTTGGTAAAGAAAGATGATGGTGTTGCATGACACTTCTGAATAGATTACTTTTTAGAAGCAACATCCAGCTCCTCTGGTCTGAATTTTTTTTCTTTTTCTGTCATGATTTCCTCCAAAAACTTCAGCAGAATTGTACTAAAATGGTCTTGTTCTGTTTGTATAGGCATATGTTTCTCTGTATATATGGTTTATAGCTTGATGGCATGTTTAAATTATATTGCTTCAGTTCTTTGTATAGTATGCTTATTTTTTTTATGTGCGTATAGTAGGTGAAATGGTACAAAAAAGTTGTTCACTTTTCTGGTGGAAGCTTCACTGAACTACACAAGAGCTGCCTTGCTGTTCTGACAGGATACCCTTGAACTGTTTGTACAACTTGAAAAATACTCCTCTTGTATAGGTGGCATTGCTGTACGTGTTCTCTCTTGCCATTCTGCTTGCCCTCTGCACTGACCAGCCTCGCTCTTCCCCTGCTGGTGGGACACCCTGGGAACAGGCCAGTAAGTGAAATAAATCTAAAATACACTGCGCTGTGCTCCCACTACAAGGGAAAGGGGTGGCTCAGTGCATAAAGTGGACTTTTTCAGCTGAACCCACTATTTCTTCCATCTACCCCAGTGTTTTAACCTATATTGAGACAGTAGCAATGTAAGAATCTAGTAGAGTGTTTGTCTGCCACAGTCATCTTTTTAAAGACAAGGAAGGCATTGAACTGGGCAGCTTTTAGTGGCTAGGTGGAATGTATGTATTATAAGTAGTGACCTACAGTGACTGATACTTGTCTTTTTTGGTCAGCTTTTGTTTTATAAGACTTTTTGGAATAAAACTGATGTGATGTTAAGTTTTTAAAACCCTTTTCTTTAAAGTGCCAGTTAAAAAAAAAAAAAAAGTTTTTTCCCTTAACTGTACTAAGTTTTTTCCCCTCCACCTTCTCTCACTGAAATTTTAACATGTATAATAAAAACCTCATGGCAATTTCATTCTAGTGAAATACTTGCCTAAGATTTAATTCTGGCTTTTAAATTTACAGTTGGGAAGTCTCTTGCTGTTGACAGTGTGTGTTTCTGGCTACACTTTCTGAAACTACAGTATCATTTAGTTCCCTGATACCATTTTGGCAACTAAGAATTGTCATTGCTACTGCCTTTTCAGCAATGGGGAAAGTTCCTCGTGTGGTCACCAGCCATGGTGCTTTACTTCTCTGTTGAATGTTGTGCCGAGACAATCTTGTCTCTAGATGATTTTTAGAAAAGACTAAATTGGAGGGATTGCAGGAAAGTAACTGGAAATGTTAAATGAATTTGGAACCTGTCTTGGGGTATTACTGACTTGAGCACATCAAATGCTTGATACCTTGGGTTGGAGAACTTTATTCTGAGACTGCTACAAGGATTACATGTTGTGAAGTACTTTTGCTACGCCTTCTCCAGTAAGTTTGCCTCAGCCACAGCACCTTGTGTTTGTCCACTGCAGTTAAGGAATGTGGGCAGCCGTGGGCTACGCTACCGCTTAGGATAATGGATATATCTGTATGCAGCAGTCTCAGCTGGATTATATTTGGACAATGTTCAGTTACCTAAATTTTGGTGCTTTGTATTCAAATGGAGCATGACCATGAATTGTCCTAAATAAATCTTGGTACTGAATTGCGTATTGATTCCGTCTCGTTCCATATAAAACCTGAACTCTGAATATGCTTTGTTTTAACATATGTGCTTGTCTGGTGAATTTAGCATGAATACTCAGTATCAGCTATTTATGAGTATTCTGGATGACAGCTACACTTCAAACCATGATAAACGGAAGGAGAAAGTTGCTGGATAGGTACTTTGCTCTCTAGAATTGTAAAAGAATGAATTGTTGCAAGGCAGACAAGCATCTAGTGGCTTTAAGGCTCTCTTACCTGGGAAGGATGATGTTGCTGGGTGAAGCTGGTCTATGGGGGTTGACTAGTTATGCTGAAGTGTACTATATACAATTATTTAAAACACTGGTCTGCAAGGAACAGTAAAGATACTTATTTGTCTACAGCTTGATACCTAAAAACACAGGTAGGGGAAGGGATGAAAATTAGCCCTGATATAGATAAGGGTTGTTGGTTTTTTTTTTCATCTTGAGGTTGTTCAAATGTTTTCATACATTTGGCAATTAGGAGCCCAACTTCTACAAAACAATAACTAGACCTGAAGGTGGTCTGTGTGTTTTCCAAGGGACAGTAAGGAAAACTGGCCAGAGAAAAAGGAGGAGCAGCTGATCAGAGAGGTTCCTGTTGCTGGGTAACTAAGTAATTAGTAAGGACAGGTTTTGAGGAGGGTTGCCAAGATGTTAAGATGTCCTTAGCTATTCTTGAAATGAAAACTAAATAATAAGGATTTGTGTCAGCAAAGCAGAGGAAACATCCATTTACATTGCGTAGAGTTCTAGCTATTTATGAGTATTCTGGATTACAGCTACACTTCAAACCATGATAAACGGAAGGAGAAAGTTGCTGGATAGGTACTTTGCTCTCTAGCATTGTAAAAGAATGAGTTGTTGCA